TATTCAAGAACAAATCAGAATTTGCTCGTTCATGATATGCTCCGTAACTTTTAAGAGGCAGGGTAGGATACTAATCAGTCCAAAAAGAGAAATCCTGTTTAGGAATGGATCTCATACGGTATATTTTGCAATCCTTGGGAAATTTGGATGTAGTTATATTCAAACCTCTCATCTTTGAGGCTTTGTGGATATGACGTTTCTGCGCTGTAATTTTTGTGTTGTATGGAAGTTTCGCGCAGACTACTTGCAAAATCTCGCATGAGTCTAATCTCAATTTTGAACAAAATGTTGGAGCATCTATGTGTTTCGATGTTTCTGCTATAATCTAAACATAAAAACTTCCGAATAAAGTAAAATATCATAAAAAGAATTCTTAACTAGCCACTTTCCAGCAAGAAATCTTCGAAGACAGAGAAAGAGAAAAAATTTGATTTTGAAAGGGTAGTTATATAGTGCTAGAATCGCAGACTAATGCAGAAAACTACAAGACGTTTATTGTTGTATAAAAACATTTCCATAACACACTCCAAAACTTTAAACACACTTTTTCCGAAACATGACTTTTCAAGATGGTCGACAGCATAGCTGTTACAATCTTCATTTTTTCATCCAATATTTTTTTGGTTTTCGACAAATCATTTTGCACACATTTTTTGTAAAAGCGCCCATATTGCGCAAGATTAAGTGTTTCTTTTTATTATTCAAGTTTGCACCAAAAGCGTGTTAGCCACAGAACTTATTAAATTGAAAATACCTAACGAACGTGGCTGCTGTGTTGACGCTTTTTAATATTTTTGAAAAATAGTTACTTCCCCTTCCAACTCATGAAAATTGTTGAGAAAACATTTTTTAAGAATATTACTTTGGCCCTTTATACTAAACTTAGTCAGATTCCTTAACTTAAAGTTTTCTAATTTTTTGAAAGTTTCTTAATGTTCAATACTAGTTGTAATGACTTTGTGACACAAAAGTGAAGTGCCTAATTATGTTTAATCCTAATTTTAGCTTCTGACTAACCATTTTACATTCTATGCGTTCCACTCTGGTGCTGCAGCATCAGTGTTGAAATTGCGTTTTGCTGTTATAAAGAAAACCACCGAAACGGCAAAATTGTGGTCGTCGCATAAATGCAGCAAAATGAAAGAAAGAGTAACATCAAACAGGAGAAGAAACAGCACAGCGAAACAAGCAGAATAGATTACGTATGTCACAGACACGTACTACTGAACCATAACAAAAACACGCAGCACGAAATAAAGAAACTCGAATAAGAATTGGAGAATGAAAAAAAACTGTGTTACCTTATGATTGCAACGAACAACGTGACACTAGTCGATTACGAATGCATACGTGGGAGCTCCAGTAATTTCCTAGTGCTAAACCAATTCTCATCATACCCTATTCGCTATTCTCGATAATGAGACTTTGTCACTGAGTCCAACAAGCTTTCGGACAGTCCTTACCAATTCGTTCTCAGCTGGGAGGTCTACGTTATTCATCATATATTATAACTTTCAGATCACCTATGGGACGCTATGTACAATTTTCTGCTACAAATATCTATTCGACTCCACCGCAGTACACTTTTGCTTTTATTATTTTTAAAACTTTGCTAACGTTTTAGGAAATTTCATTTACAAATAAATTAGGTAGTTTTTATACGTACGTATTTCATTAAATAACGACACTAAATAACGGCAAAATTCCGCCGCAATTTGTTTTTCCTTTTTTTTTGCTTTATAGCATAAACAATTCATCAAATATACTAAAATAAGTGGAATTTTATAAATTGGCCGTAGTTAGTTTATATGTCATTGTCGGTTTACCAATACTTAAAAATTTGGTAGACTACCGTAAGATGATTGGTTTTTGAAACGTTTAAACGATATTTCCATACAGATTCCTATAGCACTTATCATAATACCCAACATTTTTTTTGTATGGGCGTGTGTGGACCTGACGCTTACTATTATTTTTATAGACGATTTCCGCTTCCCTTCCAACACACACATGTTTTTGTTTTTGTGGGGTTCAAAAGGTATTTTCACTTAGGCTCCGTTTCCGTATGCCAAAGTATGCGGCACTTCTAAATTTCGACGAGCTAGGGCTTCAAATTCGCTCAAAATCGTGTTCATATATACATTTGAAGTTCTTTCAAACACTTAGCTGTGCTATAATCGTGAGAGCTCTGCCAGTAGGTCAAGATTTCTGCAAATTAACACTGAGTGTGTATCCTTACTGTTAAAAAATTGAAGTAGTTAGATAAGTTTCAATAAGTGCCCTCGAAGTGGAATTATCACTGTACCCGATCGAAAGCAATTAATCCTTAGTAAGAATCAACCACAACAGTCCGCGTTTCTGCGATTTAGGTTACTTATTTTTGAATAAAGTATAGAGAAACAGGTAATATCAACATGCCTATACACTTTATTGCTGGAGGAAAAAATCTGAATCTGCTTTAGGATTCATATGTATTTCTAAAACAGATGGTTGACGAAACGAGGAAAGTGAATACGATGTGAATCAAGGTAATCGTTTCTTTTTTCTGAACATTCAATCCACTTAATGCAAAGTTAATGTGGACGTGTGCGTAAAACAAGTATATAAGGAAGATTTGCTTATTAATATTGAAAGTATAAATAAGTTCGGCGTGCATTTGAATTGTTGAATTTATTTTAAAACAAAATGAATGAACTTATTAATGAAAGCATTGTCCGCCGCTAGTACCAATTTTTTCCCGCCTCTCAAGCAATTTTCACATTAGATTTCAAACAAATATCTTCTCTTTTGAGGCTATCCCCAAAGAAACTTATATTTAGATATCAGAACAATGGGAGCACCGTTTAAGTAAACAATAAGTCGTGTATTAAAAACTGTGTTACTCGGAAAAATAGTGTGTGCCGATAATTGCGCCGATGGTAGTATATTCCCAGGGCCAAATTTCTTCCCACTGAAAGCTCATGATATGGTAACTTTTGGCATCTCTTGCTCATTTTTTCTCGCAATTACATGAGTTATTGTTGGTAACGTTGCTTAGTAATAATTTAATTTAATTGAAGCAAATCATAATAAATGAAACCATCATGGGTATTCAGCTTTATCGTCAATGTTATTGGTTATTGGTTTGCATACTTTGTATAATAATTATTTGGGATTTTGATATCTTAGCGTATGCAATGTTCACATTTAGCAGCACTGTCTTTTGAAGTAGGAAAAATTTCCTCGGAAAATAGGTTTTTTTTGGCACAGAACTGCATACGTTTAAGGCTCTAAGAAATTAAGTAGTGTACGTTTTAGTAAGATAGTTATGTATGGCTTAAAGAGATTACTTTTAAATGAAGAAATCACAGTCATATTCTAAGTCCTACATTACTACACTGCCTCTTAGAAAATGGACTGAACTAAATTATACTCTCATAGTTTAGTACAAAGTGAGTCTCATTAATTAATATGTTATAATAACAGATCATCGTCAAACGTAAAAAAATTTTTTACTATGTTTTACTAGTATGGAATACATATTGCATCATAAAAAAAAAAACATTATTCCAGTAGATAAGAAACTTAAATAGCTTCAACAACTGCAAAAACATAACGTCATTAACATTCGATTCTGTTCATATAAGTAAGGATACGAAGAAAAAAACCAACATATTGTTAAAAATTAATTTTTGGAGGAGTATTATTTTTGCTGAATAACGTCATTTAAACGTTTTAATATATCTTATAAAATCTTTCTTGTGTACGAAACATGGATCTTATTCCATTTCTCTTATAGTCTGTTTTTCAGATCTTGGATGGAAGGGATTGAGTGTTTTCTTACTTGGCTGTCCAATTCATCTCATAAATGTTTAGGTCTTTATGCCTGGTGAGTTGTGGAAGAGGGTGAAGCACTTTGGGGCAGTTATATAAAAGCTATACTTAAATTAAGCGAGATTTATGCTTGAGATCGTTATCTTGGTAGAATTTGAATGTTTCGAAGACACTAAGCTTGTCCGCTCTTTCTTTCAAACTTTCCTTCAATATCCTTAAATAACCCTCCGTGTTAACAATGCCATCTATAAACAACAATTTTCAGACTCCATTGTCCCAATGCATACCAAACTATAACATGATAATTGCCGTGCTCGCCGCAAAACGCGACTACAAAAACGTCAAAACCTTGCTCGCGGAGTGGTCTTTGAAGTTTAGGAAATAGCCAAAAGTTCCATGGGGCTAAATCAGGTAAATAAGGTGGTTGTGGGTTGAATTTAGATGCAGAAATTGTTTGTGTTAGTACCAATCTAGATGTGATGGATTTCAAGCTCAAAATATTTTTTGAAATGTGGTTGACTGATCAGTTTAAACTGCCAACAGCGATTACAAGGTCCTTACGTGACTTTCACCAATAAGGATTGATGGTCATCCAGGACGCTCTTCGACATCAACCCCTTTGCGGCCTTCTTTAAACTGTTTATACCACTTGTAAACATTACTTCCCGATAGATTGAAAAGATCTGTGCAACACCTTAAACGTTTTTGCACAAGAAATTTCATTTTGCAAACGACATTTAATGTAACTTTGTTGCTCAAAAAAACGGCACATTGTAAAATTGAAAAAAAACAATTTTTGCGTCGTATAAAACCAAGCGAATCCGAAACACTGATGACGTTAAGATATGAAATTTGGCACAGCGAGTCTGTCACTGTGCTACCAAATTAGAGAAAAAATATTTCTGATACTCGATATACTTGCGCAATTTTACTTGAATATTAAGTTTTAATCACAGTATTATATGATTTTGATATTATTCATTTTTATTTAATTTCAATTAACGCAGTACACAAAGCGCTCCAAAGGCGAAAGGATGTGTAACGCAAACCAACACCTGAATGTATTAACATAAGTACTATATAAATATATGGATTATGAATTAAAAACTACATTATAATTATAGATTTATGAATAAGAAACATTGCATTACCGTATTAAAAAGATGATGAACCGTATGATTACTTACTCGATCTGAAATTAAATCACAGTCCTCTTGTATTAAACGTGATAGAAAGGAATTGGGGTCGCGAGAAAGTGTTGTTTTTGTTGTTAAAAAGTATTGACCACCTACATTCAACTTAACCCACTGATCAGTGCCTTGTTTTTTCAGTAGATTTGAACTTTTTCGTGTGTTGACATTTACTGTAGTCATTTTGCAGGTCCTCCTTTTTTTCGCTGTTGTTGTGTATTAAAAAAAAAGTAATAATAATAAGTAAGTAGAGGATCACTAACTGGACGAGATTTGTTATTTATGTATATATATTTATTAAATCACACACGTCACTTGCTTATTCGTTTTTGCTATTTTTCCTCTTAAGGAGCCTTCCAAAAACTTGAAACTTTTATTGCAAGAAAAATTTTTTTTAGTGGCTTCATCCATGCACACGCACGCACGTAATTTAATGTGGATACATTTTTACAATCCCCTTTTGAAGATTTATTTTTAAATTATGCCTATTTGTAAATCTATTCTGGATAAGCTCCGTCACATTAATTAAAACTGTTTCGGTTTCTTATTAATTGTCTTTCAACTAATAACAAATATGCTACTTTTTTCCGATTGCAATTTTTTAATTTTCTTTTTTGCCTGTAGATACGTTTGAATATTTCAACATGGTAAACGTTTCGTTCTCATTTGTTCTGTTTCAAAACCCCACTACTTAATTGTAGATATTTTTTGCAAAACATGCAATATTAACAATTTTAAGAGAAATCTAATGGCCATATATTTCAGAATATAAATCATATTTTTTTGTAAAGACCTTTAAAGCATTTTCTGAAATTTTCAGTTTCAAAATCGCGTGAAAACTAAATACAGCCTATAACCTTTTCTTCTTAGTTAATTTCACAAATACAGCTTTAAAATTGAAGTGCAGCTTGTCTTAATTGATAAATAAAAGCTTCGAGCTTTTTTTGCCCAAAAGAACAAACTATGTATTTGTATTTTAAAAGGTAAAAAATTCTTCCATATTTCTATTTTTGCTCAAAGCTGATTCGACATTTCAACCCCTTTGTTTTTCATTAGGTATTCAAATTCTTGGCTCAACAAATTTTACAATAGATTCGAGATAACATATTCGCTGCTTTTTATTAAATTTTTTCTTTATATGACGGAAAAAAGCTACATATTTAGATTATTCAGTATAGAATTATAATTAATGAATTGTAGTTGATTTAGCTCAGCCAAACCCAAAGCCGGTATGCTACAATGCCAAACAATAGTATTGAAATCATTATTTTCAAACTTAAATAAAGTCACGAACGATGTAGATCAGTTAATGGAACATACATGACACCCATTAATCTGGTTTCTTTAACTGTTCCGTCTTGCTTTTTGTCATACTAAAAGAAAGCAAAAAAATGATGTTAAAACAGAATTGCCGATGTTGTGAAATATAGTCAGGAATACCTGCATCATATATTGTTCTCCTCCCTCAGGCCCAACAGGTACAACCATTCGTCCGCCCTTTTCCAATTGATCAAGTAATGGTTGAGGTGTTACAGCAGCAGCAGCTCCTACATGTATAGCAGTATAAGGTGCAAACTCTGGGTATCCATTGCGACCGTCACCCTCTGTCATGGAAACATGTCTGTAAAACTTTCAGCTTCCCGAAAAAAATCAGCTTATTTACCAATAATAACTAAACTTCCCGATTTTAACATCTCTGAATCATCAGCATCGAGATTTCGCTTGCTAAGTGTGACTAAAGCTGGATTATGTTCTACTCCAACTACTTTTGTACTATTATTCTCCCCTTGAGCTTGTATATAACGCCAAAAGCAAGCAGTTAGATAACCTGATCCTGAGCCTACATCCAAGACATGACTACCAGGTATCATACGATCCCGCAAATATTCCATTGCAAAAGCATGCTGTACGTTCATACACTTTAAAATTGTATAAAAAACATTTGTTTTATGGATACCTACCATATGAGGTGCACTAATCGTTACGCCGTGACCAATACTTTGAGGTGCGTCCATATATGGATTGTGAGGAGCATAAAATCGACGATCTGTATTAGTCATAGCAATTGCGACCGCTTGAGTACTTATAACTCCGTAGTCTACGATGATTATATATATAAGTTCTGTTTGCCAAAAGAAATTGTTTAAGCGAGTTTTCTTCACCTTTTAATTGTCGTATAAGGTCGGCATTGTTGGCTCCTACAGAACGCCAAGCCATCTTCTTTCGCCACACAATTAATTTCTGTTCTTTTTCTTGCTTTGAGGTTTCAAAAAAATGGTTATTTTTTTTTAAAGAAAATGGGAATTTAACAAATAATAAAACTGCGAATTTTTTTGTGAACGGTCAAAATCAGCTGTCGGCCTTGAAAGTTAAAGCCAAATTTCGGAAACCATTTTACATGTGAAGAAGAATGTGTAATCGATTATATTATAATATAAGGGATGTTAGTAATTCACTTAACTGTTCTTTTCAATAAATAGAAAAAGTGAAGAAGAAGAGTACATGTAAAATATATTTTCTGGCCTGCTTGATCTTTTTCATTGTTTTTTATGAGAATTGCTATCGGGTTCAAAAAAAAGACAGTTATAAAATTTTCAATAAATTTGAGTAAAAAACTTAGGAAGAATGGAAGTAAAAGTTACTGTCTTAACACCAAATGGCAGAAGACAAAATATTAAAGTCACACCCAATACCACATTATTGCAGATTTTGGAAGAGGCTTGCCAAAAACATGGTTTTGTCAGTGATGAATATTGCCTGAAGCATCATAACAAAGAGGTTTCATTATCTCAGATGATTCGGTTTAGTGGTTTGCCCAATAATTGTTTACTGGAAATGTCCCAAACTAATCGGAAACGCATAGCTGCAACCGTTGACATATGCATTCAATTAGAAGACGGTAATCGTCATCAAGCCCAATTTAAACCCGAAGATAATTTATGGCAAGTTGTCGTGAAATTGGGTGATGGCTACATACAGAGTTACGAAAATCCGGTGGTAATTTATACGCGTCAAGAAATTATTGGTAAGCAGCAAATGTCTGAAACTACATTAAAATCTTTGGGCATTATTGAAGGTAGAGCCTTGTTGCGTTTATTAAATAAGACACCTGAAGAATTAAAAACGTAAGTAAAATTTGAAATGAGTTCAGAATGTTAATATAACATTTACAACTAATTATATAAATAATTCTTTGTAGGCAAGCTAACGTCTACATACCACCGGCTGAAAAAAACGCACCAAAGAAAACTAATGGGTCAGAAAAACCAAAAAGTACTAATGCTGATGCAGGCGGTGGTGGGTTTTCTATTACTAGGAGTTTGATGCAAACTCTGAAAAAATCGAGTGATCAAAAAAATATTGGAATAGAAACGCGGGCAAGTTATAGTGACGACCAACAACAAAACCCGGAAAAGCTTAAATATGATTGGAGCTCAGGAGTGGGACGTTCCATGCAGCCTTTACAAGTTCAAATTGGTTCTAATAACAATGAAAGCGAGACAGAAGAGAAAGACGAACCTACTTATCATATTGTACGACTCAACTTTTAGCTTTATCTAGATTTTCAGCGTTATATGTGCTTTTTTCGTATACAGATCGGTGAACGTTGCGCTATTATTTATTCTTTGAATGAGATTCATACGCACGTAGAAGATTTGCCCGATTCTTTTTATGATTTGACCGTAAATGATTTGAAACTTGTCTTACGTGATTTAAAAAATATTGCTGCCGGGAATGAAGATGCGCCTTTAGTGACCGAAAGGTTGCGCGAATTACGTGACAATCGAACAATGTTAAATAAAATATCCCAATATAAAAACTGTATTATACGTATTAAGTTTCCGGATCGCTACGTTCTTCAAGGAATGTTCAAACCAGTAGATAAAATCTCGGATGTTATAGAATTTGTAAGAACGTTTCTAAGGAAACCAGCTATACCCTTTTATTTATGTACGTATTACATACTAAGGCTTTTCGTTTTCTACGACTTCTCGCAATGTAAACAATTTTTCAGTCACTATACCACCTAAAACCAAATTAACATTGGAAAAAACACTATTGGAACTGGATTTTGTGCCTAATGCTTTGATACAATTTTCCTACGAAAATGAATTTGAAAACGCAGGCAATTGCATAAAACCTGAATTTTTGATAACATTAACATCACTGGAAGGAGCCATATATGCCGCCAATAAATTTAGGTAAGATTTCCGAACTCAAAGTTTGAATTTTTCATAAACTATTAGTATACACATAAATTTTTTTTTTGTTAGACGCACCCAACGTAAACCTCCTGATATGGAAACCAACAATAACAACGCCAGCAACAACGATACGCAAAAACCGGGACCGTCAACCGGAGCCATACCGAAACGTCCGCGTAACGATGAAGCAAAGAAAACTTGACTTCAGTATAATCTCACTCAACAGTTTGTTGAAATATTTTGTTTGTTTTGTTTCAATTAAATGAAAAGTCAAATGGAGTTAGTTCCTCTCTACATTTTTTGTATTTTTTGTTTGCTGTACATTAAAACTATTTTCATTGGCATTTCTCTTTCTAAAAATAAATACGACAAAAGAAAAAACTAAATGAAAAGAGAATTATATATTATTTTCTCTATGTTGGGTGAGAATCGTTTATTTATCATGGGCCTTAGAAGTGCCTATATTTGTTAATTAATATTTTGTTAAGTCTATCCATACATGCAATAGATTCCTCTATACCTCTCAAACTATAAAGGGAACTCAATTATTCTTAGTAGTACAATTTTTTAAAGAATGTAGTTTATATTACATATAAATAGATGGGTGTGCCCAAGACTGCAATGATGTCGTTTATGACATACGTCAGAATCTTATTTGGTTTGCGATTCGCAGAACCCCTTTTCCCAACCATTTGATCAACTATTAAATCGCAACAATGATATATCTATTTCGCGTGAGATGCATAAAAAATTTTGGTTATTATTATGTTGCAATTGTTTTCTGCTATTAAGTCATAAATTATTGTTTTGAAATTTGAATTTTTTTTATAAGGCGTTTTGATGGAGTCATGACCCCACTTTCGGTTATTTCTTTTGTCATTCCTTTTAGTGTTGATGTTAGGTTATACAATTGCTCTCTACTTTTTATCAACTAGTCTTAGAACTTTATGCTTTCCGTTTACAAAAATCACACATTTCATACCAAAATACCTTTTTGAAGTATAATTTTTGTAAGCAGAAATGTCGAATATAGTCTTCCACCGATGCGACCCTTACATGAAATCCATTATATCCACGAAAACCTGTAGGAAAACAAGTAGGCGTGGGTTTTATTTTTTTTGGGATGTCA